ACAAACTAGATTAATACACCAAGATGGAAGTAGTATCTTACTCACTATGTCCCAAAATTATCGTCTTGCTTAAAAAAATATGGAGTATGCAAATTACTTTCTCGTTTAAGAATATTTTGTTTACAAATTAAATAGAAATAAAAAAACATAAATTACATATTTATAAACAATATGAAAACTTTTACATAATAAGAGGTGATAAAAATATTTTATTTTATTAAATAATCAATGAAAACATACAAACAAACAAAAAATAATGAAATATAAAATTAATAACTGTGGTGATAACTCTGGGTGACGGGGACAAAGGGATATTATTTTTCTTCAATTACTTTTCCTTTTAAAATACTCCCTCCGTCCCCCTGTATTTGTCCACTTTCAGTTTTGCACACCATCCAATGCATTTCTTTAATCCATTTTATCTTGTAATTTGTATATTAAAAAATTATAAAAATTATATATTAATAATCTATATGTTAAGACAAATCAAACAAGATCACACATGACTATATTTAGGCTTACACATTGAGAGAATTTGATGAGTCAAAGTGCTTAGATGAATAGTTCCAAAAGTCAAAAGTGGACAAATACATGGGGACAGAGGGAGTACAAGGTAGTTTGAATAGTAAAAAATTCTACCTTCATCTCATTAGTTAAGAGGTAAAAAAATTATTTTTATTCCATCTTAAAATATTTAAAAATGCAGAGATAAAATAATTTTGTTTTTTTGTTCCAAATATTCTTTTTTTTTTCTCCAAAAAAAAAAATTACTCCGTATCCAAAATCCAAATACTCCCTCGGTACAGGTTATTAAGGTTGAAAATCATTTTGAAACGGACAAAAGTCCAACTTTCTCTGAAGACCATAATGATGTCCCGCACTCCAGCAACGTCGGTAGGTGAACGGCGCTACCAAACAAAAAAAATGGAATAAATCTAGTCACTGATCGCTATCGAAAATGCTAGGGTGCTACCACATGAGTGCTACCATGGGTGCACCCATATTTTGCACAGACAAACACAGACGATAATTGTCTGTGTCGCATAGACATTTATCGTCTGTGTTTGTCTGTGCGAAGCATGAGTGCACCCATGGTAGCACCCATGTGGTAGTACCCTAGCATGGTCCAATCCCTATTTGAATTCCTTTAACTCTAAAATTTACTCCTTCCCCTTTTTTAAAGATGGTTACACTTTACTTTAATACTCCCTCCGTCCTATAATGTTCTTCACATACACTTTTTACCCGGTCAAACTTTAATCACTTTCTTTATCTATTTTCATTAGGTATTTGATAAAATAATATAGCCTTGTCACCACTTGTTTTGTAGAACTTTTGATGTAGTTTTTAAATATATAAATTTTATTTTTTAATTTTACACCTACAATCAATTAAATTGAATTGAAAATAAACTCGGTCAAACTTCGTAAAATAAACCGGGAAGATCATTATAGGACGGAGGGAGTACTAAATTATGAAAAAAAATATGAGTATTTTTTTGGAAACAAATATGAGTATTTAGTTATAATGTAATTTAGTAAAACTGAGTTTATTTTATAATATAGTTCGAAATATCATAATTTTGTACGGAGTAATATTTAATATTTTTAAAGTATATTTAATTCGTAACTAAAAAGTGTCACAGTTTGACCAAAAAAATCAAATTAAAGCAAACTTTCAAGGCGTAAGGAGCATCTAAAAAATTTATATTTATATTTTGTGTCCATGTAAATGTGTGATTGGTTGCTTACATTAACACAAAATATTAGTGCAAAATTTAACGATCGCACTAACATTTTATATCAATGTAAAGTGTAAATTTTTTATGAATATTTTAGAGTACAATATTTAAGGGTATACCTAGCATGGTTGGAAAAAATATTTTAGTCTCCCTCCGTCTAAATTAATTAAATTCTCTTTCAAATTTTATTTATTTTCTTTTTTTAATTTCTTTACTTATTTAATAGAATAAGAGATAACTACACATGACTCTGTGTGATACCTCAAAAGTGTGTCATGATACCTCAAAAGTGTGTCATGCAGATAAAAGTTATTTTTACACTTTAAAATTGAGAAATGATCATCTAACCCATAATTTCCCCTTCTACAACCCAAGACTGAAGTTGCGTCCTCGTCATATTTTTTTACTTATTACCTACTCCATATTATTTATCTTAATTAAATAAAATAGATGCATTCAAAAATTATTATTATTACTATTATTATTATTACTACTATTACTATTACAAACAATTTCTTTACACCCAGAGTTTCAAGGTCAAAAGATCCTAACCATTGTTATTATTATTACTATTGTTATTATTATTCCTATTGTTATTACTATTATCACCACCATCATTATTATCATTATCATAATTTATGGTCAAATTGTTACATAGTTTGACTATAAAACTCAAACTATAATATTTTTTTGGACGGAAGGAGTATAATATTTTTAATGAGTTGGTAATGTCGAATATAAAAATGTACGGTTAGTTTTGGACATATAAAGTACTCCCTCCATCTCTGTGTATTTGTCTGATTTAATAAACTTTAAGTTTCAAATAAACAAAATTAACAGAGTAATATATATAAGCCCAAAAATATACTACCCCGTGAACGATTTCGTGACCATAGCCAGGCCGCGCGATGCCGTCTCCCTTCCTCTTGTTACCGTTCAACACTAACATTCAAAATAATGTATTCCCCTCCTTTGGAATTTAATTTTTCTTATTTGACTTTTTTTCGTTTTTAAGGAGGGTTAACTATGGAGTAAATTTGTCTAAAATGCCCTTACTAAAAAAAGCTTAAACATGAAAATAGGAATATTAAATTTAGATTTTAGACAGAAAAAATGGGAAGATATTTTTATACCTAAACAGAGAAGAAAATAGAAAGATTAAAATTGGACGAGGGAATTTTTTTGTAATTTTAAATGTAAAAAGTTTCAAATTTCAACCCAACCTCCCCCTCCTATTTAAACTTTCCAATATCATGTTTCTTGATCACACACTTCTTTTTTCCTTTATTTTCGTATCCTTTAATTTCTTTCTATTTCTTTTCAAATTTTATAATTCTACTCACACCATGAATCCGTATTTAAATGCCCCCTCCCCCCAAAAAAAAAAAGAATATCACTCCCAAAAAGTCAGAAATTTATTCGATACGGAGTAATTGTTATCGGCGTACCCTAAACGGTTTTGAGAATTGGACTCAAGCCCCAAACACATTGAGGAGGGTGGCTAACAGTCGATGAAGATATTGAAACGCCGAATTAACCTCCTAAATTCGGGAGATATCAGAAAACCCCTGTGTGAAAGGGTTGTGATATCAAGATAAATCAACTCGAACCCCTTGAGATATCAAGATATATCATCTGCAAACACTGTGTAGGCTTCACCAAACACCCACAAAAGGGTTCTAATCATCCTCAATATCAGAACCCCGATCCCTCCTACGCTTACTAAACCGACCCTTACAAACGCTCCCTTATACTTCGTAAATAAAACCCGAGGTTATTTTTCAAATCAATCATTGGAAAAAGGACTAGGGGTACTTTCTCTTTCACATTCAAAGGGAACTTATATACGTGGTACCTTTTCATTTAAATATCCATGCCACCCATGTGGTCTTTGATACCTGAAGTTCATTCCTTGGAAAACACAAAACCTGTCTTGGAAAATGACCACATGGAACTGAAACATAACCTGAAACCACGAGGGAATCGAAAATGGCACGACCTGTAGAATGATTTACCTCAAGAGTTCATCGGATTATTTATGTATAGCGCGATAATCGTAAAAGTTGATTATATATTTTTGGCATATAACCAGCAGTTACATCCTGGAATAGCGTCCGTGATCTTCATATTGGTCCATGAACCCATCGTTGAACTCTTTGAAACTAGCCATCATAGCTGGCATCTCATCCTCAGCCGGGAGGATAGTCGTCCTAAGGTGGAAAACCCTAAACACAGAAAAACAAAGGATTTGTTGCAGCAAAGAAAATAGGAAAGGAGGGTTGAATTTGGATTGGAGCGCGGAATCCGTACCCTTCCTTTTGACCGAATCCTGAGCCAGGAACGGTGGAGATTCCAGTGGCTTCCAAGAGCTTGAGACAGTAGAAAACATCGGGAGCTTTTCCAAGACTCTTCGCAGCCTCAATAGCTCTTTGGGGTAGGCGTATTTGTGGGAAGGAATACATGGCACCTGAAAAACACTTGTGAGAGTGGATATAAAAGGCATTGATCTGATTAAGAAATGCTCAAGGATTTAAATTGTCTGTTTTGGTTTACGATGATTGACTAAAGTTATTTTTAATACAATTAATTTGAGAATTGGGATAGAATTAAAAAACAAAATTTACGTATTTAAAAACTACATCAAAAGTTCTACAAAACAAGAGGTGACATGACTATATTATTTTATCAAATTAGTAACAAAAATAGGGAAAGAAAGTGGATGAAGTTTGACCCCGTTAATAGTTACAGACAACTGAATTTAGGACGGAGGGAGTACTTGCCTTCGGTGAAATTGCACACAACATTTATGCAGCTATTGAATCCGTTGGTCATTATATGCGCCCTTCTCCTTAGCGAATCAAGAATCCCTTTGCTACAATCAGAATCAGCCATTAACAGTAAATTTTATTTAAACCCGTCTTCTCGCCCTCATCATTAGCTAGTCCAAAATTCATTACCTTTCCCTTATGAATTGATCATAAGAGATATCTCCAGGTTTAGGAGGGTTCGCCATTAGCCCTAGCTGCAACAAAAAACAGGATGGGGTACCATTTTCAACCAGGACATGACTGATGATAACTCATTATATATTCATGTGGAAAAAAATAAATAAGAAAGCCCTTGTTGGGTAAACCATTTTTTGACAACTTATACTTGCTACGGTATTTCTCGAATGCTTTTTATGATATCATTTCCTTTAATTTATTTTGAAAATGCATTTGGGTACTACGAAGTACGAACATTTTACATCATTCAACCATTTTAGCATCAACGAACTTGGCCAAATTTACTCCGATCAAACAGTGCCAAAATCTATTGGTACAAGAATGAAGTTGAACAATTCTAATGCTTTCTTTAGCTACGACATGCTATTAAAATGGAAACGAAGGGTTAAACGAAACAAACAAAAAAAACGATAAATAACTTACGAATATCTGCGCGGGCACATTTGGACTAAGGGATATTGATGAAATCTTGTATATCTCCTCCACGGTCTATAAAGTAGATGACAAAAAGAAGCAATTTTATTTAAGTGTAGGGCAGGTTAACGGTTTCCAGTAAATAAAAAAATGAAATTAGGACCACATAGACCTTGGGAGGGATATTGGTCATCTCAAAATATCCACCGCGCTGTCCACATTCACCCCAGTATCCCTTTGAGACAGTGTGGAAAGAAAGAAGCTGAACTTCTCTGCTTATGGGTGTGCCCATATCCAATAGCACCTTAAGTTTTGGAGTGACATGGCATTAAGTTATAAGTTCCAAGAACAAAATTTACATAAAATTTATGCATTTAACTCAGGGTCATTACCTTTCTTGCACTGATAAAGGGGCGCACGTCTTGGTAGATATTCTGTTGATAAACTTCATCCCCAAGCAAGACCAAATTCTCTCGGTAACAGAACCGCATTATCTCTTTCAAATTTGTTTCACTAAGACATTGCCCAGTAGGATTTCCGGGGTTTATAATCACCATTGCTCGTATCTAAGTGCAGGCAATATTAAACATGAAAGAGTAGTTATAGAATCACAAAATGTGTTAATAATCACCATTACCATTAATCCTTTGGATCGAGCTTCTGCAACTGAACGATGAAGGTCCTTGATATCCAAACCCCAATTTGCAGTCTCTTCGAGGTAATAAGGAACAAGAGAACCCCCAAGTAAAGATATTGTAGCCGAGTACAGTGGATATTGTGGAACAGGGACTAATATCTAACATTAAATATGGAGTCAGTACATAAAAAAGTTGAACAAACTTAACATTCAACCAAAGTTTGGGAAATGCGGGGAATTGATTAAATTGATCACCTACGGAGTATGAATCTCATTAAAAGAAGAAACTCTAAGTTCCCATTTGGTAAGGGTTATTTGGCAGAAGCGACTGATTTTCATAAAGAAAATGTGTTTGGTGGCATTCATTTCATCTAAATTAGCAAGTCAAAATCCAATTACTGAACCGGACTACCAAACATACCCTAATTTTCTAATGTGGGAAATTACCCCATCATTTGGACCGCGAATGATAGCATTCAAGATTTGCGCTACTCCTTTGCTGGCTCCATCTGTGAGAAATATGAGCTCTGCATCACTGTACAAAATGAACCAATAATCTAACCATACATTTTGGGTCTTTTGGAACTCGGGAAATGCTAGGTGAGGAAAATGGAGATAAAAATATAAAGATAATTTGAACGAAAAGAAATATGAAGGAATATATAACAATAGTTCAAACTTAATGAATCTAGTTTTGATATTTGTTGACATTCATTTTATGCATCTGTGATCTAATCTACCTACATTCTATAAAGACTAACTCTATTCACGTGGGTTGTAAATCCTTATTTCCAACTCTTTCCAGTTTCTTCCAACTTTTTCCAGTTTCTTCCACCATCCAACTTTGTTTTTCCCACCTAAAAGAACAAAACCTAAGGAATCCAAACTATATGCACAAAAAGATTGAAGCCTTAATCATATTTTATGTTCCATTGTATTTGACGTGGTAAAATCAACTACAAGAATACAATTCTCCTTTGCATTTTCCCCTTACTCTAGCACTTTTGAGGATCCAAACATGCCCTTTTGGAGTCTTGATTCAACTAACATAGGAACTAAGCATTATCACCTTGGGTGTCCATCTCGTCTCTCGATGAACTCCGCTACTTCTTTCCTAACTCCGGGAATTCCACGAGAATCACTGTAAGCACCTATATGGTTAACAATAAGGTAGCAAATGATTTCATCTTCTAAAAAAATTAGATATGATATAAAAAATGCGGAGAAAACAGTACCAAGACCCCCAGAAGTCATGGCAAGATATTGTTTAGCTCTTGCAATTGCATCGGCGGGGAATATATGCTCCACATTCGGATCATCTAGTAAAAAGGGAGCTTGGCAGAGCGCGATTACCTAGAGAAAATGTGGAAACAAATAATTGAGCATTTGATTTGATAAAATAGTTACATTACAATTCAAGATTTCAAACAAACCTGGCGAGGAAAAGTGAGGGGCTTTTGTCCAAGGGCATGGGGGTTGCCAACATTAGTGAAGATGATCTGCAGGATTTGTAAAATGCTAAGACATCAAAAAGAAATTATGAATAAAAGATGGGAGAAATAAAATATGTTCCATATACAAAAATAGGACTTTCAATGTTTTTAGAGTAAATTCTATAATTAGTCCTTTATAACATAGAGTTTTCCATATTTAATCCTTTTTTATCAAATATTATGCCCATAGTCCTTTTATGGGTACCTTTTCACAAATAGTTCTTTTTTTGACCTACTGTCATGTTGGAGTTAATTTGAGGGCTAAAAGTGTAATTGGACATCAACACGACAATAATGACTATGATTGCTGCGGACTAGTATTCTGATGAGAGACCACATCTGTAGACTATGGTTGTAGCAGAAAGCAACTGCGATTCACAAACGACCTCTTGCATTGTGTATGACAAGAAAGATACATGATCATTGTGAAATTACACTTTCAACCCTCAAATTAACACCAATATGACATAACATCAAAAAAAGATTATTTATGGAAAAGTAGCCATAAAAAAGGACAACGAGCGTAATATTTGATAATTTGATAATAGAGGACTAAATATGAAAAACCTCATGTTATGAAGGACCAATTATGGAAATTACTTGTGGTTTTTTATACCAAAATAGGATTTAAAACGCCAAAAAAACAGTCTGAAATACCAACACATGATGCCAAAGAACTTGTTCTGGTATAATTTTTAAAAATAAAAGACGCACCTTCTTCCCTTGTTTTTGAAGTTCTGAAGCCCGGAGATAAAGCTCGCCCCTGACAGCATATTGACACTTCTTCACATTTTCATTCAGATTCTCATAGTCCAAAGGTTTGGAGGACATGATCGAAAAGGCGACCCAGAACAATCTGGTTGATCAAACAAAAAACTGTCGTCAATCAAGGAAAACGAGTGCCGGGAACTAGGGTTCTTGTAAGGGAGATTCATTCGATTGAAATTAGAATCAGAGAGGGGAAGACAAGACTAGGAGATTCAAAGAGTTCATTGGAAATGAATGAAATTAGGGAGATTCATACCTTAACTGAATTGATCGTCGTCCCCAACAGTGAGAGGCTAGTCAATGGTGATTCTATGTGGTTCACGCCACAGCAACTGAGGATCGGTGGACGGTGGTGTACGAGAGAGCCTAAGAGTGATGTGGAAAAGGACAAGAAAAAGACAAATTGTGGGAAAAAAAAGTAGTGTTATAAAACTAGAAAAAAACTACTCAGGGATTATGAATATAATAGAGAGGCTTAGTGCTAACACTATTACAAATAGTATACATATTATACAAATGACAACTTGATGGTGATGATGGACAATTTGTTCCTGCAACTTATGATGGAGCATGACCTAATTAATTGGTAAATGAACAATTCATATTTTTCTTAACACTCCCCCTTGAATGTTCGTTTTTCAATTGATGATGAGTATTTTGTGAGATGGGTATAGTTTAGAAACTCATTCTAATTTTATGTACTGCCTCATTCAAAACCTTATCAGGAAAAATCCAGTAGGATAAAACCTGATCAAAGGAAAAAGAGTACAGTTCATAAAATTCTCCTCCTCAGCTTAGCATAATTGACGGAGACGATGCATGCCAATCTTGTGTACGAGTTCTTCAAATTTCTTTGGGTTCAATGCTTTAATAAATAAATCAGCGGGGTTCTCATTGGACTTGATTTGCTTGATGTCAACCTTTCAATCTTTCTCGAGATCATGTGTTGAGAAGAACTTTGGTGATATATGCTTTGTTCGGTCTCCTTTGATGTAGCCTCCTTTCACTTGAGCAATGCATGCAGTATTGTCTTCATATATAGGAGTCGGATGACTAGTAATTTTTTCTATACCGCACTCGTTCTGGATATGTTGAATCATTGATCGCAACCATACACATTCTCTACCTGTTTCATAGAGAGCTATCAACTTTGCGTGATTTGATGATGTAGCTGTCAAAGTTTGCTTCATCGATCTCCATGATATTGTGGTATCGCCATAAGTAAACACATATCCTGTTTGAGACTTTGCCTTTTGTGGATTAGACAAATATCCTGCATCAGCAAATCCAACAAGAGTGGCCTTGGTACCTTTGCGGTAGAATAAACCAAGGTCGATGGTACCATTGAGATATCGCAAAATATGTTTAATGTCATTCCAATGCCTCCTAGTCGGGGTCGAGCTGTGTCTGGCTAATAAGTTCACTGAGAATGTAATATCTGGCCGAGTGTTGTTTGCTAGATACATCAAAGCTCCAATCGCACTCAGGTATGGTATTTCTGGACCGAGTATTTCTTCATCATCTTCACGAGGTCGGAACAGATCATCATGTACATTGAGAGAGCGGACAATCATCGGGGATGTGAGAGGATGTGCTTTATCTATATAAAACCGCTTCAGAACCTTCTTCGTGTAATTTGACTGATGGATGAATATCCCGTCTTTCAAATGGTCAATTTGAAGACCAAGACAAAATTTTGTTCTCCCAAGATCTTTCATCTCAAATTCTTTCATGAGATATTTTGCAGTGTTTTCTATTTCATCTGTAGTTCCAATGATGTTTAAATCATCAACATATACTGCAATTATGGCAAAGCCTGATTTAGATCTACGGATGAAAACACATGGACTAATTAGATCATTTTTGTATCCTTCTCTGAGAAGATATTCACTGAGACGATTATACCACATTCTGCCAGATTGTTTTAGTCCATATAGTGACTTTTCCAATTTTATGGAAAACATCTCTCGAGGTTTTGAACTATAAATCTCAGGCAATTTTAGCCCTTCAAGAACTTTCATATATATGTCAGTATCGAGAGATCCATATAAATATGCTGTCACTACATCCATTAAACGCATTTGAAGTTTTTCAAATACAGACATGCCTATCAAAAATCTCAATGTAGTTGCATCAACTACTGGGGAATAAGTTTCTTCATAATCTAACCCTGGGATTTGAGAAAAACCTTGGGCAACGAGTCGGGCTTTATATCTCACAATTTCATTTTTCTCATTGCGCTTACGCACAAAAACCCATTTGAAACCAACTGGTTTCACACTTTTTGGCGTAGGAACTATAGGCCCAAAAACACTTCGTTTTTCAACTGATTTCAATTCTGCCTGAATTGCTTCGTTCCATTTTGGCCAATCATGCCTACGTCGACATTCATCAACTGAAGTTGGCTCAATGCCATCATTTTCATCCATGATTTTTGTGGCAATGGCATATGCGAATATATCATCTACATGAACATCTTTTCTGTTCCATTGCAATCCCGTAGAAACGTAATTTATTGAGATCTCATAATTATCAACGTTTCTATCTTCATCTGAATTATTTGTATCTTCAGAGATTGTTGAATCCTCATTTAAAGCAAATTTTTCATTGATATTATTTTTTATATCAACATGCTCGGTTTGTTCATTATCTTTCTTTGAAGAATGAACATCTTTTGTTTCAAATATTGTCTCTTGCCTTTTAAGTTTTCTTGGTTTTACATCTTTTGAACCAAGTGGTCTGCCACGCTTTTTGCGTATTGAAGACTCATTTGCAAGAGTTTTTTTCATTTTTCTCTGAAGGAATTTCAATTCTGGCAAGAGCATTCATAGCTGGAATATGTGACTTTGTCACTTTCTTTGAATCCGTGAATGCGTCAGGTAATTGATTTGCAACATTGTGTAAATGAATTATCTTTTGCACTTCTTGTTCGCATGCATTTGTTCTTGAATCAAGAAAAGATATTCTTGTTGCATTCCATGTAATCTCTTTCGTACGTGGGTCCTTTTTCTCATTTTCTCCCCCTAAGGCTGGGAATACCGTCTCATCGAAATGACACTCAACAAACCGAACTGTGAATAAATCACTAGTCATTGGCTCAAGATATTTTATAATTAAGGGAGAATCAAAGCCAACATAAATTCTCAGCCTTCTTTGAGGACCCATTTTTGTACAATGTGGTGGAGCAATTGGTACATATACGGCACATCCAAATATTTTTATGTGAGAAATATTTGGTTCTTTTCTAGTTAACAATTGTAATGGGGAAAAATTATTATTTGCAGTAGGCCTTAGCCGAATTAAATTTGCAGCATGCAATACAGCATGTCCCCAAACAGATGCAGGTAAACTGGATTTCATCAATAATGGTCTAGCAATTAATTGCAATCGCTTTATTAAAGACTCAGCAAGACCATTTTGAGTGTACAAATGAGCAACTGGATGCTCCACATCAATCCTAATAGACATGCAATAGTCATTAAATGATTGGGATGTAAATTCTCCTGCATTATCAAGTCGGATTTTCTTTATTAAATAATCCAGAAATTGAGCTCTCAAACGTATGATTTGAGCAAGGAGTTTTGCAAATACAAAATTTCTTGTAGATAAAAGACTAACATGTGACCAACGTGTTGATGCGTCGATCAACACCATAAAATAACGAAATGGTCCACATTGTGGGGCAATTGGCCCACAAATATCTCCTTGAATTCTTTCTAAAAAAGCAGGAGATTCAACTCCCATTTTATTTAAAGATGGCCTGACAATCATTTTTCCAAGACAGCAGGCAACAAATGGAAAATCAATTGATCTTGGAATCCTTATATTTTTCAATGGATGTCCAAGGGAATTTTGAACTATTTTGTGCATCATTACACTGCCAGGATGACCCAAATGGTCATGCCACAAAATGAATGTTTTCTGATCATCTAATTTTTTATTAGAGACAACATTCACTTCAACGGGACTAATGTGAGTATAATATAGCCCCGAGGAATACGCTGGCACCTTTTCACAAAGAATTTTATTGCCAGATTTGGTTGTCGTTAGACATAAGTATTCCTTTTGATTTTCTGTCATGGTTTCAATATGATAACCATTTTGACGCATATCTTTAAAGCTCAATAAATTCCTTCGGGATTTGCTGGAATATAATGCGTCTTTGATAATTAATTTTGTTCCTTGGAGAAGGATTAAACAAGCCATTCCAGACCCTTCAATGAGCTTTGCAACACCAGAGATTGTATTGACATTAGTTTCCATCAATGTCATTTGAGAAAAATATTCTTTGTTTCTCAAAATGGTGTGCGTTGTGGCACTGTCAATTAGACATTGCTCTTTGCCACTGGAGCCATAAGCAGTTATCTCCATATCTTGAATACAAATAAATATATAAGTTCAAGACAATTAACACAAATATCATACATTTTATTATAATTTTTAGAACAGACATAATAATACTAGTACACATCAAAATAAAATACAAATTTCAAACATTTATTTAAAAATAAAAATAAACACGCCATAATAGAGTAAATAAAAATATTTAAATAGTAGTAGTTCCACCAAAAGCCACTTCATCACCAATTTCAGCATCATCCATGTAGAAATCAGACACGTCAAATTTAGGCAAAATTGGATTGATATCATCAGCATAATTAGCCTCCACATTTTTTCCTTTTCCTTTTGTGGAAGCTTGGTATAATTTCACCAAATGTTTTGTCGTTCGACATTCATTAGCCCAATGTCCTTTTATGCCACATTTATAGCATTCACCACTTGGTTTTGGCTTTTCATGAGTTTTAGCCTGTGGTGGTTTGAATTTTCCTTTTCCTTTGGAGGATGATTCATTTGGATGTTTATACCCCTATTTAGCCCTTTGTTGCGGTTATTTCTGCGTCTACGTTTAAAGTGTCCGCGTGCACCACCTTGAATAACATTTGATTCTGGTGCTGAACCACAGTCAAAATGGCCAAAATTTGTAGGGCTACAACCGGTGGGCCTCATGTTATGATTTTTCATTAAGAGCTCATTATTCTGCTCAGCAACGAGTAGTACTGAGATTAACTCAGAATACTTTTTAAAGCCCTTTCTTTGTATTGTTGCTGTAATATCACATTTGACATATGCATGATGGAAAAAGGTTTTTCCAACATGTCATGATCAGTGATATTATGTCCACATAATTTTAATGTGGACGTGACTTTGAAAATAGCAGAATTATAGTCACAAACAGATTTGAAATCTTGAAATCTTAAACTTTCTGGGAGATTATCCCAGGAATCTTAAACTTTCTTGAAATCTTGAAATCTTAAACTTTCTTGGGAAATCTTGAAATCTTAAACTTTCTGGTAGTAGGACCTTTTGTTGATGTCCATATCTCTCTTGGAGATTATCCCATTATTCCTTCGGATCTTCCACCAATAAATATTCAGATTTTAAACTTTCATGAATGTGGTGGCGAAGGAAAATTATGACTTTTGCCTTTTGCTGAGATGATGATGTATTATTTTCAGCAATTGTATTTTTGAGGGCATTAGCCTTAAGGTGAGCAAGTGCATCAACCCTCCATTCCAGGTACCTTTGACCGGATAAATCAAGAATGTCGAATTCTCTTTTGGTGATGTTGGCCATGAAATAACTACAAGATAATAAAATTTGATTTATTAGATTTTTTTAATTTAAATAATAATAAATATTGGGATACAAAAAATACCCAATGGAATTAAACATGAAATGGTTTATGTTTTTTTTTTAAAAATTGGGATGAAAACAAGTGGACAAGATATTCCTCATGATGTTGGCTACGAAAAAGAACTAAAACAAAATAATAGATTAATTTTTTTGAGAGGACTAAGGACGTGAACATAAATAGGGATAGAAAAAAAATTCACATGTCTTGTTTGAAAAACAATTCAGGAATAAGATTTGATGATTTGAAAAAAAATTGACAAAAGAAAGAGGACAAAAGAATATCATATGCTGGTTGTCCTCTTAGTATTATTAATGGTAATAATTCAAAAAGGAATCTTTTGAAAAGAAAAAAAAGCGTAGTCTCATAGAAACAAGCACGAACTAGAATAAATATGCAATTCTCTCAAGAAAACTAATGAGTCTTATACTCCGTAATTCCCTCAAGAGATTGGATTGCATAAGGTAAGTTTTATTTATTATTACTACAATATCAATCTATCCTTGAAGCATAAAAAAACTAAAATCTCAGATATACTGGAAGTAAACAATAATTAATTAAAGATTATTATTTTTATTTATCTATAATACTCCGTAGTATGCTTCTTCAACCTTTTATTGGAGTGTGTATATCATTCCCCCCTTTCTCTCTCTTAAGCATATACTCCTTAAAAAAATTGTATGCAATTTTTAAGAAAACACTACTAGAAAGTTTCAAGTAATAAAGTTTAAGAGAGTTATATGCATGAAGTCTACCTTTCATGCATAAATTAATTTAAGGTATGTTCTTAATTGAATTCTATATTTTTTTAAAAGCTACCCTATATTAGATTCTACTCTATTTTAATTTATCAAAAACATGATTTTTTTATGTGAAGGATTCCAACTTTGGGCAATCACAGAGCATACTTCTCATATTTTTTTATGAAAATATTTTAGTTTGTTTATGAAGAAATTTAAATAAATTAAATAAATATAACTTCTGAGAAGAACAAGGATTCTGAGATTTTTTTTTGAGCAAATTCGTGCTGATAACGTGTTATAAAACGAGAGAAAAAACTACTCAGAGATTATGAATATAAATATGATATGTTTCTGATTTCTTCTCTCTATTGATTCTTCACTCTTCTTCTTGTTCTTAAATGGTGATTTGCAGAGATCATAAGCCTCTTATTTATAGTAGAGAGGCTTAGTGCTAACACTATTACAATCAGTATACATACTATACAAATGACAGCTTGATGGTGATGATGGACAATTTGTTCCTGCAACTTATGATTGAGCATGACCTAATTAATTGATAAATGAACAATTCATATTTTTCTTAACAGGTAGTATGTAGTTTGGGGTTTCAAAAATAATGAGTACCTGTTTTTAAATTTTAGAGTTAGATGTTGAATACTCCCTCCGTCCGGTATTAAAGTTTACGTTTTAACTTATTGTCATTTTTATTGCGAGTTGACTAAGCACTTAAAATACCAAAAATACTCCTTTCTCCCCTTTTTGCTTTTCCACCTGAAAACAATACGGAAAATAGCCCATCCTCAGCTCAAAATCAGAAAACAGCTCAAAATTGGCTTTTACCCCTTCCTCCTGACCTGACGGCTCAAAATCGGAAAACAGCCCATCCTACTTTGAGAGAAAGAACAGGCGACTCCAACGCGACCGGTCTCACCCGATTTGGTTACCGGAATCACCAGATCGCCGCCGCGACTCGGGCCGGCGATTTTTGGCGGGTTTTCCTCAATTCCGGCCACCTCCGCCACCTCTGACATCGCGCAACCCCACCAGGCACCTCCCACAGTCCATCCAACCACAATGGAACCATTAATTGCAGAAATTGAAGCCAATTTGAAGAAACCCCCAATTTGGGATCCTACGGTTTTCCCGAGCTTAAAATCTTCAATTCGTGAAGTTCAAGGCAAAATTGGAAAAAAGGACTGAATATTCGTGATCCTCGTGCAAAAACGGTTCATTTGGCGTTGGTCCCGTCCGTTTCTGCTCAGGAGAAAGAAAAGAAGAAGAAGAAGAAGAAGAAGAAGAAGAAGAAGAAGAAGAAGAAGAAGAAGAAGAAGAAGAGGAAGAGGAAGAGGAAGAGGAAGAGGAAGAGGAAGAAGAAGAAGAAGAAGAAGAAGAAGAAGAAGGGGGAGAGGGAGGATTGAAAGTTCACAGATCCGGCGGATGGGAGAAAGAAAAAGAAAAAAAAGAGGAATTAAGGTAGAAGAGGAGGAAGGGGAGAGAGGGAGAGAGAAGATTGAAATGGTAGAGAAGGGTATTTTTGGAAGAGTGTGGATTAAAATTAGAAATGTAAACTTTATTTTAGGACGGAGAAAAAGGAGAAATGTAAACTTTATTTTCGGACGGAGGGAGTAATATTTTATGAGTTAATAAATTGAAATTAGTTGGAATAAATTGGAAAATGTTAAAAGAATTACAATTAGGGTTGGACACGGTACCGATACGGTACTGTTACCGGCACCAGTACCGCCACTGTCAACGGAGACGAAAACATTCAGCCGGTGTCGGGAACCGGTACCGATACCATCCCACACGATACTGGTACCGACCGTTTGAATTTTTTTTCTTTTGCTTGCTTTGTCAAGCAGTCAGCCTCTTTTGCAGGTGGGGGGCTCCTCAACGGCTTTATAGCCGTTTGAGGAGGGGAATGGGAGGGGGGTTGGGGGGTTTTAATTGTATAAATAACCCTCCATTTTTAAAAAAAATACCACACTCAATTCTCAAATACTCAATTCTCATTTCCCAAATCTCAATCCCTTCATCTCTATTAATTTCTATTATCTCTCTTTAATGTTTAATTCTTTATACATTTTATATTCATATAATAATATAAAGAGTTAATTTCATAAAAGGTTCCCAGTTATAGGTCATTTTACATATTTAGTCCCTACATATCAAATATTACTAATTTAGTCCCCAATTGTTATATTCATTTCTACGAATGGTCCTTTGTTAGCATTTCCGTTAAGCACGTGGATAAAATTATAAATTCATACTCTTTTCTCTCCTCAATTAAGCTTCCTCCCTCCCCTAGCACTCCTTTCCCAAACACGTTGCTGAGTTTGAAGTTTTGAACCCAAAACCAAAAAGATCATTACTCTTCTATCAATTGTTTGTCTAACTAGTGGAACCCAAATTCGAAACCAGTAACTTTAATGGATGAGTTTTAATGTTTCTTTCATTGCAATTTCTTGAGACTAATCAATAAAACTCATCCATAAAGCCCATTGGTTTTAATTTTAGGTTCCACCAGGAAGACTAATAGATTAGAGAGGAATGATCATTTCAGTTTTGGGTTTAGAGATTCAAACTCAGCGATGAGTTTGGGAAACAGTACGAGAGGAGGGAGAAAACTTAATTAAGGAGAGAGAGAAGTATGAATATACAATTTTATCCATGTTCTTAACAAAACATTAACAAAGGACCATTCGTGAAAAATAATATAATAATTGGGGACAAAATTAGTAATATTTGATACATAGAGACTAAATATGTAAAACGACCTATAACTGGAGAACTTTAATGGAAATTACTCTTATATAAAATTATAAATTTATTTTTTTGAACAAATGTACCAATATATTCCACTTCCAATAAAATGTTCAGTACAAGACCAATACGATATCAAGCTAGTTACATTTTCCTTTTGTAGTCTATTTAACTAAGAAGGGTAAACTTAATGAATTTAATGGCGTCCTGCTCCATGATGTTCTTCTGATGAATAATCCCATTACGCGCCCTCCATATGCCATAACATTCTATCGACCAGGCTGCGATAATCTCCCTGCGAAGTGTGCATCCCACCCTTGTGTTAATCATCTCACCAAATTCCACAATGCTATGTTGATCATACCGTAGGTTGTAAGGCTGCAAAACCGAATTTAAAACCCTTCTTGTACACTCACAATTGCAAAAAAGATGATTGATGTCCTCCAATTCACCCCCACATAGTACACAATCAGTGTTTATAGAACTCCATTTAGCCATTATAGCCTTGGTTAGAAATCTGTCTTGCATTAATAACGAGAATATAAACTACACTTTGGGAGGGGTCGCTTTGTTCCAAACCCAGTTAGCCCACCCAACCTTCTGGAGTTCATCCTAAAGCCACCCATATCCCTTTTTCACCTCAAACTCCCCAAATAACTGCA